TTTTTATATATTGCTGGATTTGTTTTGTCACATTTGGGGGTTCATTTTTAATAGGCCCTATTCTCTCTTTGGGGAGATGGAGGAATGTTTTTGGGTAACCTGCATCAGCTTTAAGTGGGAAAGGTGGGTTCAGTGTCTACACTAGCAGTTCTCTGTAGATTAGTAGAGGGACAGACCTTACGGGGCAGTGAGTCTCTAGGATATGCCCAACAGCCCTTCTCCATTCCTTCAGAATGAGCGCCCCCTGTAAGCTAAATCATGAATGACTTCACTTCCTCCCTTTGTGGCTATAACCAGGAGCCCACCTCCAAGGGGCTTCTGGGTTGTGTGGCTCAGTTACATTGTAAAATCTGGCAGGGAGAGAAGCTTTTCTTCGCCCCACTTCCAACGTGGTTCAGAGTGCAAAAAACAAATAGACCTGTGTGATTTGAAATTTCAGGTTGCTCCTAATGACAAAAGGACAGACGGCTATAGTGTCCTTATAAACAAATGTATTAAGGTTGTGCTGATCAACAAATTACTCTCTAGATTTGGGCAGATAAGAGCAGTGAAACTGGGATAGTTTATTGAGGCATAGGTATGTGTCATATCTTCAGATGGCTTCAGGGAAACCCTATATCCTTTGACTTCTTATCAATCACGACAGAGCTTACCTCTAACACTTCCTTGTAAAGTGCACAAGTGGACTCTGCGATGGGAAGGATATGGTGCAGTTCCTGGAATTCATATAAAATGAAAATACCCTTGCTAACTAACTCTACGCTCTAATTTTTAGATTTCATGATGGGAAGAGAGTAGTTATCACTTAAGTTTATAAAGCACAACAGTATCATTACAAAGTATGCCATTATATAATGTGCTCTTGAATTCTGAATGGTAGGCGTGTTCCATGTCAATATTACCAACATCATGAATGCATCATTTCATATGCAAAAAACTGAGCTATAAACTTAATAAGTTACCTATTGGCTTTAAGTGTAATTAAAGATGTTGGTTTTAGGGTTTTAAAGTGCAGTTCTGGTGAAAAAGAGCGCTACCTTCAACCTGTGAAGAAATTGAGGACTCGATTCTTATCAGTTTATTGAGCCACCTCCTTGGAATACATTAGAACCTGGGGGCTGCATTTTGACCACTTGAATATCAATTGTGGATTTCACTGTGACAAAGGCAGTAGGCACAAGCATAGATTTGTTACTTGGTTTGAAAAAGGTGCTCAATAGAAACTTGTTTAACTGAATTAAAACTTAACATTTTCTAGGTCCAATCTTTTTTTCTTTTTTATGGAAAACTTCAAACATGTACTAAGACAAAGGGAATAGTGTATTGAATCCTAATGTACCCTTAACCCTGCACTAATAATTATCAACTCTTGGTTTAATTCACTCCCTACTTCCCTCCCTAGATTATTTTGCTATGATTCTGAGATACTTTATCATTTCATTTGAATTCATTATCTTTTTTAAAAATAAGGANTAGATTTTACTGACTGACACAAATGGAAAGCAGGGGTTTGCCAAGTAGTCAGTGACAGAGAATGCTTCCCACCCTTTGTCCAGGTTGCTGGAGGCTTGCCATGGTCATCGTCACATAATTTATATCTACCTTCCTCTTGATAGCTAAGTGCTTTAGGGATGGGTTTGATAATAGAAGTCTAGGAAGGCGTTTTCATTCCCATCTTTATTTATAGTACCATTCCTCTAATCAAAAGCTACCTAAGCATTTGCTACAGCACAAGAGAGTGCCTTTGTAAATTATTTAACTCAACTCCATTTTATCTTTGTCAATTACATAATTTAATTTTATCAGCCCTTAACACTTGCAGTGTAAAAGGCAGAGGCCCTTTGGGGTCTGGTAGGCATGCTGGCAGGGCTGAGGCTGGTAGCTTGTACTCTCCAACAATTCAGACCCTCTTTGGATCACTGTTAGAGATACCAACAGACATGAAAAGTGGGGACTAGTATTTATTTATTTTATTATTATTATTTTTAAAGACTTTATTGGGGAATTGGGGGAGGGGAACAGTGTTGGGGAATTAGGAAAGAGGACCAGCCAAATTGTTGTCCTTCAGTCTTTGTTGTGGAGGGCACCAGTTGACATCTGGCTGCCTGTTGGCAACTCGTGGCCTCTAAGCTCAAGGTGCTGTGTTCAATTTTAGCTGCGGGTAGACATCGCCACCATCCCATGCAGGAGTCACACCCAGCAGCCTTGTTGTTAAGAGCACATGCTCTATCCACTGAGCCATCCAGGCGGCAGCTCAGCTCAAGGTGCCAAGTTTGGTCTTAGTTGCGGGTG